TTAAATTATATATAAAGAATAAAAACTTAGATATATAATTTTTAGCATTATATTTAATTTTATATTATAAAAAATATATATATAAGTTGCTTATAAGTTAAAAATAAACAAATTTAGAAAAATTTTTAATTAGAAAATGAATATATATATATATTTTGTTTAAAGGCTATACTTTATAATGATTATTCTATTAACATATATTGAAGTTAGTATTATTATTATTTTTATAAAAATAAGAGCACAATATATAACTTTTAGTTGTTTATTTTAAGTAATCTACTTTATAGTTCTATATTAAATACTGTATTTATAATTTACTAAAAGATTATTTATTTAAATTTTTTAATTATGAATTTTCTTATATTAAGAAAAATCTCAAGCTATTAGCTAAAAAGATATATATTATAGTATATTAAAAATTTTAATATATCTAATATTAATAATTATGTTTTATAAGTAAAATTTTATTTTAAAAACTTTTACTTAAAGGTTAGAAGTTAGTTATTATAGTAAATATTTATATTATTTATATTTTTTTATAATTTCTTGTTATATGAAATTCTGTAATTTTATTAGATTTAGATAAAGTTAAAAATAATCTTTAGTAATTTTTAACTTAGAAGTTTTTTAATATAAAGGTACTCTTTAATTATTTATTCTTTTAATTATTTAACTACTATAAACTCATATATACTTAACCAGTATATCATCTAAACAGTATAGCACCTTTCTTTTTTGAACTAATATCTAGGCTGTTACATATTTTAGAATACAACATATATTAATAAAATTCAAAAAATTTTTTTATTAACTATTTATCTATTTTACAAACTATTAATAAGAACTTGCTTTTGTAAAGTTTACTTATATTCTAGTATCTACTTTATAACATAATTTTAGTACTTTAATATACTCTTGCTTTGTCTTTAAACATTTAATTTAGATAGTTTAAAAAGATTGTAACCTGTTTCTAATATATTGAGTCTAATCTAATATTCTTTTTTTTTAGTTTGACCTAGTAGTTTAATTGATAATACTTCTTATTTAAAGGTTTTTGTCTATTTAATTTTTTTATATTAATATCTATTTCTTAGATTTAGCTTTTACAATAGTACTGTCAAAAATTTATATTATCTTTTTATTTAGGTCTTTTTAAATAAGTTTTAGTTTTTCTTTGTTTTACAGATTTATATAATTACAAGTGCTTATTTTAAATTTGTATTATTTAATATTAGTTTGTAGCTTTTTGTATAATTAAAGTTACATAAATGCTTTATAACCTGCTAGTTATACTATTATAACTATAGTTACAGGTATTTTATTTTAACTAATTAATAGAATATTATTACTGCAATACTGTCTATATATTATATAGATAATTATTTAAATTTTTATCATTAGTAAATTTTGAACTTACAACTTATTATTTAAAAACTTAACTTATTTACTTCATCAAGTTATTATATTTTTGAAATTAATATATTGTAGCCATGATACTGTAGTTATATTTTATAAAAGCTAATTAATTTTAAAAATTAGATATAATATAATATAATTGGAAAAATTTAAAACAAATATTCATTTTATTAAAAATTGTATATAATTTAAAACTAAGTATATAAAACTACTAATAAATATAACAACTTAATGAAATAGATAAGTTGTTACCTTTTCAAGTAGCAAATTGTAAGATTAAAACTCACTAAAGATAAAAATTTAAAAAATACTCCTGTATTATATATAACAATAATATTTTATTAATTAGTTAAAAATAAATAATACTACTATAAAAACAAAATTTAGAAAATAAATATCAATATAAAGAAATTAATTGATTAAAAATTTTTAGATAAAAGGTACTATCAATTAGGCTATTAGAATTTAAACTAAAAAAAAATATTAGACCAAACTTAATATATCAAAAACAAATTACAATTCTATTAAGTTATTTGAATTAAAAATCTGAAAATTAAGTAAAGATATATTACAAGTACTAGAGCTATATTATAAAGTTAGTACTAAGTTTAGATAAACTCTACAAGAGTATAAATTTGTTAATAGTTTATAGAATAAATAAGTTAGTTAACAAGAAAGAAAGCATCTTTAGTCTTATAATTAGATAATATGCTTTGAAGCAAATAACAGTTTAACAAATATACCAAAAGAAAAACTAAATATTAAATTAGATAACACTTAGATATAAAAGAGTTACAGAGTTATTTAATAAGTAGCTGCACAATGTTGTCATGTGAAACCAGAAATGAGAGAAATCTATACAAATACAATTTTAGTTATAAAAACAATATTCTTTATTGCAATCTATTTCTAGTATAAGAAAATGACTCTTTATAAAAGAAGTTGCAATCTGAATATTGGTTTAAATTTCAGCAGTTCTGATAAATCTGACCCAAAATTCTGGGGCCCTGCAAAAAACATTAAAAATCTACAAAACATATCTGTATTTGGAAATGATTGACAAATTCTTTTGATTATATCTTTGATAATTAGTGATTATTATTTTATTTGCTCAATAAAAAATTTGATAAAAAAAATGAAAATTACCAAATATTTAGCATTGAGAAATTTAATTTATATTGGAACACTAAGTTTTGTGCTTAAAAAAGTATTTTTACTATTGTTTGTTATAGCATCTTCAATTTTACAGATGCATGTGCTCATTTGTTTTTTTTAAAAAAAATATTGAATTATCAATAAGTTATATGGACTAATCAATTTTAAGATTTTGAGAATAGAGACATTTTTTCCTAGTACCTATCTTTTAAAATATTGTTAAAGGTGCTATACAAAGTCATAATGACAGATTATTCAATTATATGCTAAGAATTGTACATGCATATTTGAGTTGTCTATAAACTATACACTATATTGTACATTGTACAAACTCCATTCCTGATACTAATATATAGGAATTAGAGTATTTAAATAAGTAATTACTTAGTAAATTACAAATAGGGGGCTGGTATTTGTATCCCCCACATTTGGTATTCATACCCCCTATGATGGCAATTTCTGATTATCACGTGATCATGTAATATATTCTATACGCGATTAGTCAATATTATTTTGTGCAACTCACGTGCTAAGGCATGTACTTATTGCAAAAAAAGTCAAAATTACATAATATTTAAAGTATTCGTTATTTTAAAATACAAAACTTCAAATAAAATGTTTATAAATTATATATATACAAAAGAATTGACTTGTTAATAGTTGAATAAAAACGAACTTATGTATTTGTTTCTAAGTACTTAATAAATTATGTCAATTGACATTCCCAGATAATTACTATTTTGACTTTTTTAAAAAAAAATTGACTTGCTGCAAATATATAGAAGACAAATATGTAAAAGTGATATTTATTATTAAAAAAGCTTGGATCCAGTCATCCGTTTTCATATTATACTTAACAGATATTTGACAGATTTTACTGCTAAATTTATATTTAACAGATAACCAAATCAAAGCTCTAATTAAATCCAAACTGATTAATACACAATTTACAAATCTTAAGCCAAACTCCTTAGGTTAGTAGACCCAAACACAATGCAAAAACATAACATATTTAAGTGTTAAACCTATAACTTATTTTACAATAAACTTGTTCTTATTCTAGTTCAATCGTTAGTAATAAAATTTTATTTTTTGAATGAAACATTTCCATTATCTTCATTCTCAGCCTAATTTGATATAACCTAATAGATAGTGGCATACTTAATCTTTTTTAAGTTTTCAGTTTTGGGATTATTTTGCATAGTATATAAAGGCTTTTTTTAGAGTTATCAATGTGCTTGCAATAAATTTTTATTAGTGAAACGTCACTTTCTTAAAAAGTACTTTAGAATGTATAAACAAGTTACCTGGGCTGTTGATTTACAATAGCCAATCCAAAGAACTTCTTTCTATAAGACTTTCTTATCGACATAGTAGTAATAATATTGATACTACTTTCATTTTCTATGCCATAATCTAATTAATTTTTGAAAACTAATAGCTAATATTGGCTATTAATCACATCAGTTTTAGCTATACAAATAAAAAAAATAATTCATGTGAGTGCTGCGTCAGTAGATCATCTTGATGTAATAACATATGATGTGGCTTAAAATATTATACATCATAAACCTAATTAAATGAATGTCATGTTAAGGCTAGTTTTTGATACATTAGAAATTATGAATTTAACAAATAATGTGACATAAAATGTGCCTTAAATGCCATGTTAATTTGTATTGAATTGGTGTTAAATTAGACTACCAACTCATAAATTTAAAATCCAAAGCTTTATGCACTTTAATTAAATAAATGCCATAAGCTTGACATGATTTCGTATATGTATTATTATTGATCATGGCATTCTAATTATAGGCATCATGGCCATCTTATAAAATTAATCGCATTCAAAAATTTTAAATATAGAAAGATTATTGTTATTAGAGTAATTGCAAAAAGATGATTTTAAATATAAAAATATAATAGCAGTTGAAATATATAAACCTCAAGAACTTGCATTAAATAAATTTTTAATTTGAAATTGTTCTCTTTGAATATATATATTCATTAGAATTAGAACTCCTGTTTACCTATACTTGTGCTAAAAAATATTAATAAAATTAGAACATTTTACATTGAATCAAAAACTTAATAAAGTAATATATGAAACTACAAAGCTTGTAATTTTTTTCAAATGACAGTAATATTGTAGTTGAATTTTTAACTGAAAATAAAAGTATATAGTTATAAAACTTAACAAGTAGCTTAAAACACTATAATATAGCATTGATCTGTAAAATAGCGACCTTTATAAGCCTTACAATTCAATTCTTATTTCTTTTTGATAAAGCAAGTATGCTTCCACCCCTCAATCCACATACAACAGTGCAGATGAGCTTTTTCAAAGTGCCTAAGCATTCACGATCTCATAGGGTTATACATTGATAAAAAAAAAAAACTATAAAGATAGGCATAGTAAATTGAAAAACATGGAATTATGTTGTGATTATAGTGGTGTATATAACAACTTCTTAGGTTTGACTGAAGAAACACGCAGTAGGCAAAGAAGCACCAGACTAATTGATTGTCTATTTGAGTTGTATGCATTCTGACGTAATAGTTTATGACACCTAAACATCCGTAACTCAGCCCATAATCATGATTATTCAAACAATATGTCAGAACATCCAATTGCCTGAAGACTCACAGAACAACAGCTAGAAAGTGTTGCAGCAATGACTGGTGTTGGCTTATGTTCTCGAAAAATCATTTCAACACTTCGTCAAAATGATGAATCAACACTAGTTACCAATAGCAATATTTACAATGCATGCAAGAAGCTTTAGCAACAGAATTTGGCAGGTCGTATACCAATTCAGGCTCTTGTGGATGAGCTTCAGAAAGAAAATTTTTTGTACAATTATGAATGCGATAATGAAGGAGTAGTTACTTACCTATTTTTTGCATATAATAAGTCTGTAGCCCTTACTCGCCAATATCCATTCATGCTTCTCATAGATTGCACTTACAAAACTAATATATTTAAAATGCCTTTATTGAATTTTGTTGGTATAACTAGTTTTAATACCAGCTTCTTCTCTTGCTTTGTCTTTATAAAAGATGAAGACAAGAATAATTACATGTAGGCCTTAACATGTGTCACTTACTTGTTTAATGAAATATCGAGACCCAGAGTTATCATGACTGACCGAGAGTTAGCTCTCATAAATGCTCTCGAGACCATCTTTTCTAATTCAATAAATTTGCTATGTGTGTGGCATATAAGCAAAAATATCTTGAAAAATTGCAAGTTACAGTTCCCAAAAGATGATGAAGACAATAAGTGGAATGATTTTTTCAGAAAATAGAATGATATAGTTAATTCAGAAACTGAAAATGAATTTAATACAAAATAGAAGAATTTTTGTTCCACTTACATTAACAAATCCAGTGTTATATCATATATAAGAGAAACATAGATATTATGGAAGACATGATTTGTAAAGGCATGGATGAATAGAACCCTTTATCTTGGAACAATTGTTACTTCATGCATTAAAGGTGCCTACACAACTCTTAAAGCATACTTACAAATGTCGACTAGGAACCTTTATCAGGTTTGTTCATCAATTACTTTAGCTGTAACTAACTAGAAAAAGGAAATTGATTCAAGGATTGAATAAGAACGAATAATATTTCAGTTTTTGCATACAACAATTTGTTGTATGCAAATCTTAGAGGCAAAGTTTCAATCTTTGCTTTCAAAAAAATAAATGATCAGTATTAAAAAACTACTTCACGATAATCATTGCCACTATGTACCAGGACTTTCTCAAGAATCATGGGTTTACTTTGTGCTCATTATATTCAAAATTTTGAAGCAAACCAGAGCCTACCACTCAATGATATCCATACACATTAGTGAATTTAAGGGTGCATTCCAGTAACACAAATTGAAGAAGGTAATTCTTATAATGAAGACTTACTCCAGCCTCTTTTACAAAACCTAGAACAAAGATACTATGAATGCCCCGAACATCAGCAAATGTAGCCAGAAATACATTAAACGACATGATAGATAGTCTATTAGGACCTTTACAAAACCCCCTACATAGTTCATATCAAGGAATGTCCTTCTGGTGCTCCAAATCGACAACCAGCCAACACAACAAGACGGGATCCTTCCGGGTTTGAGTTTGTTGACCATAAAGCAAAACAATGTAATATTTGTAAACAATCAGATCACAACACTCGTATTTGTTCAAATTGAAATACAGAATAATACATTTAGTCATAATTCGCTTTATGTATACAATTTTGTAAAAAAGTAATAATACTTAGCTTTAAAATAAAATTCATATTCCTGTTAGATAATAGTAATAGCATATAAAGTATTAGCTATTTGGCTATTTTGTATTTGAAGCGATTTGCTTAAATGGAAGTAGCATTCAAAAATAAAACTCATCTAAAATTTACTAGTGGTTTCACAATTTCAATAGTATGTTTTGATTTCAACAATAAGCAGCTTGTAATTTTATAGTAGGTGGATTTCTAGTTTCAACAATAGACGAAATTCATAAATTAGTATTGAACAGTAGTGATTTTAACCATTAGTAGGTCATATATAAAATTGAATCTGATAGTTTTTTTTAATTGATTTCTTGCTAGATCTTAAGTGAAGGGAGTAAAACACTAACAACACGATATAATACAAAAGGTTTAAAGTATTTATATTCTATTTATTATTGCTCTTTAATCTTGAGAATTTCGAAAATTTAAACTAAAATCCACTCTATTTCGATATATATAATTATTTAACGCAATCATGTGATATGTGCAACAGAGTTGACCAATTACAGCTAGAATATATCATGTAATCACATAATAATTAGAAATTGCCGTTATGGGGGATACGAATACCAAATGTAGGGGGTACGAATACCAGTCCTCTACAAATATAACAGTTAGTAAACAATCTGCAAATAAATTACTTAAATAGATAACTAAAAGTTATATATATAACTAGTTGTAAACTTATTTTATACAAATTATATTTATAATATATAATTAAAAAATATACAATAAAAGTAATAAAAAGAGTGTAATGACTTAATGAAATAAATAAGTTATTAAGCTTTCAAGTGTTAGATTAGGTGTTTAAAACCTATTAACAACAAAAATTTAAACAATTACTTATATAATACTTGTATTACAGCAACTATTTTTAACAATTAGGTTAAGACACCTGTAATAAAATTGTACTAACATAACTGGCAAGTCATAGAATATCTGTATAACTAGTTCTACAAAAAAAAATACAAACTAGCATCAAGTAATACAAACTCTAAATAAGTCTTTATAATTATATAAATCTGTTAAAATTAAAAAACAAAAAGTTTATTTGGAACAACCTGAGCAGAAAAGTAGTATAAATCTTTAACAATATTACTATAAAGACTAACTTTATAAAACAAATATTAAGAAACAAACTCTTTCTGTTAATCATTTATACAAAATTTAACCTAAATTTTGCTTATATAAAACTACTAATATCTCAAAATTTTATTATATAAACAATCTTTGGTGTCTTAAGTAAATTGTTTATAAGAGGTATGGCAACCTAGTGAAGTGGATAGGTTGTCAACCCCCAAGTGGCAGGTTTAGAGTTCAAATTCTAGTGATGGTGAAAATTTGCAATTCTTTTTGTGTTATGGCTAACTGTCTTCTGTGATTGGTTGGGATAGGATACCTGTAACCTGTGTCATACCAGCCTGACTGGAA